GGCCTGCTCAGAAGGCGGCGGGACTCCCGAGAAGCCCCTCGCGCCCTCTGAGAAGTTATCTGCACCTGCAGGGAAGGCTCAAGGAGCGTCTCAAAAGGCCGGGGGACTTCCGAGCCTTCTGAGAAGGCCCGCCCCTTCTCGTTTCCCCCCCCGGGCTCGCCGCCGGCCACCCATCCACCGCCTGGTGAACCAACCACATCCAGTGCCGTGTGGTCTTCAGGGGCATCGGCTCCCTGGGCCGTGGATCAGGGATCGACCCAAACAGTGCTTCATGCTGGTTTTGTGTTCGTTGTTTCCCCTCGTTCTGTCTTCGATCCGCCTCTGCTGCGACGCGCAATCGAGAAGAAAAAGAGCCCACGGAATCACCAAAACACCGCTTGGGCCGACCCCTGCGGTGGGTATGGATCAACTCCAGCCTCGGAGATGAGGGCCAGTTGGTCCTCCAGGAGGTACCCCCGGCTGCGCTCGTCGAGGAGCATGGCCGCAAAGCGCATCCGGTCCGCGGCCTTCGCCTTGCAAGCGGCCGGGGGGGCATCCCGTCCTGGCGTCGATGTGCCACCAAGGGGAGACATCGAGGCCCAGAGCCTGGAAGAGCGGCTCCAGAGCCACCTTGCGTAGACCAACTGCGCCTCGCAAGCGTAGCTTTTGGCTGCCTTGCTCACGCGCTGCGCTGATCGTTCGGGAAATACCGCAGCCTTTTAGGGGCCCTGGGAAGCTCTGCCTCCTGTGCACATGCCCAAGGTGAACCTAGCTTCTCCAAGGAGGCCCAGACGGTCTCCAGAGCACCCCTCACAAAGCTGAGAGGAATCCAGAGGTCCCAGGATGATGCGAAAAGCTGGGGGGGCACCCTGAGCCAGGATCACCCCTGGCAACCTCCGAGGAATGCTCTGACGCACCCGTTCCTGGCACGGACGAAACTGGGGAAACCAAACGGTACCGATACCGCTACTCCCCAGACCTCCCCTGGGGCGCGTTCTGACAAGGATTTCGAGGCGAATCTGGCGGTGGCGACGACGGAGGTCCAGGTGGCCCGAAAAGGGGAGAATGACGGGAGGGTAGAGGTATGGGCACCTTTCCCTCCGCTGAGAAACAAGGAAACGGAATCAGAAAGAGGCTCCGGGAGACAGGGAGGTACGGCAGGTGCGTGCCTGGACGACTCCGGCGTGGGTTCCTGGCGCCGTGCGGATCGTTCAACCTTGAGCGATCGGTGGCTGCTCCATCGCCAGATCCCTCCAGCTTGGCTGATGCTGTGCAGCTGGCGGCGCTCCACCTCCAACGCCCCCGGCGATCCGCTGCCCCGATGCGTAGCACGCCACCCGCAGCGTGCTGCCTCGGAGCTGGACGCGTGGGCCGCGAGCGCCTGCGTGGCGCGATCAGGACGCCGAAGCGTGGTCACTCCTCCTCACTCCTCCTCACTCCTCCTCACTCCTCCTCACTCCTCCTCCTCCTCCCCCTCCACCCCCTCCTCCTCCTCCTCCTCCTGCTCCTCCTCCTCCTCCTCCTCCTCATCCTCCTCCTCTCCTCCTCCTCCTCCTCCTCCTCCTCCTCCTCCTCCCCCTCCACCACCTCCTCCTCCTCCTCCTCCTCCGCCCCCTCCTCCACCCTTCCCCCGTTTTCCCCTTTTTGGGGGCCTCCTAGGAGGCCCTCGTCGCCACCGCTGGCTCCGCCTCGAACTCCTGGCCAGCACGCACCCCAGGAGAGGTCCTGGGAGCAGCGGCATCGCCGCCTTCTGGTTCCCCAGTGCTGGCTGTACCAAATCCCCACAAACCTGGCACCGTACGTGCAGTGCCAGGGGCGGCGGCCCGTCTTCCCATCTTACCATCATAGGGGGATGCGAAGTCCCTGAAGACGGGACGGGGTGGGCACGAGCGGGCATCATAGCCGGCTCAAAATCAAAAGAGGCATCATAGCCTCATCAGTCTAGATTGATCCACTCACGGATCCACTGCAATTCATTTCCATTGACTCCATTCCATACGTAGCATGCTCTCCCCGTGGGCCCGCACTGAAGGCCACTCCGCCGAGCTGCTCCCGAGGCCGCCCGGCTCCGCTCGCGAAGCCCTTCCCCGAGGGTCTCGAGAGGCCGCGCGCGGCCGCCCCCCCGAGGCGCACGGCCTGGCCGACGACGACGACGACGACGACGACGACGACGACGACGACGACGACGGCGACGACGACGACGACGACGGCGACGACGACGACGACGACGACGACGACGACGACGGCGACGACGACGACGACGACGACGACGGCGGGGCAGCTGCGCCGCGGCGGGGTCGCAGCACGGACGGCACGTTCGCAGAGCGACTGCGTACTCGCAAATGGCCTCGATCCGCCGCGGAGGGCTACGACATACCACATCGAGGCAAACAGATGCTTTCCGGCCATTAGGCACTTTGCGAGCAGGCACTTGGCGAGCAGTGCAGCGCGCTCGGTGATCGCCGAGCACCCGGCTCGGATACTCGCCCTGCCACTTCACGGCTTCGCTGCCCCGAGACGCAGCACGCAACCCGCAACGTGTGGACACGGACCCCGACACGTGGCTTGAACACGTACGCTCACGTACGCTTGGCGTGACACGTTCGCCAAAACGAGGGCGCAGACGCTGGCCCAACACGCAACGCTTTGGCACGGACGTCTTGGACACGGCACGCGCCGAGTCTCAAAACGGGCGCATCAGGGCAGCCAAGCCCCACGGAGCTCGGGCCGCCAGGAGCTTGCAGTCGGGAGCTTCAGCACAGCATGTCCCTCTGCTGGATGGACCCCTCAAGCTCTCCGCTGCCTCCAGCGGTGTGCGCTCAGAACGCAGCAAGGCCGCAGGAAGGCATGGCATTGGCAGTGCAGCTCCGCCTACGTGTGAAAGTGCTCTGGCGAGCAAGACCACGGCAAAACCCCAAAACGACGAGGCATGGACAGTGTAGCTCAGCATCAACACAGAGGCCGGGGAGACACGCTGTGCCCTGCGAACTGATAGCTTGTCGCTCCGCTCCGCGTGAAGGGAGGCTGGGAAAGGCTGGGGACGTTGATGCTTGGCGACCTGGACGTGGTCAGGGTGTCGCGCCTAAGCGTGGTGGGCCAGAACCGACGGAGCGACGGGCAAAACCGAAGTTCATGACCGTACTGCATGGTCGCCCCTGGAATTGGTGGCGAGCGAGGGGAAGTGAGAAAGAGAATGTCTTCTCAGAAGGCTTCAAGTCCCCCAGCCTTCTGAGAAGTCCCACCAGTCCTTTGGGCGACAGGTGGTCTAAGGGTGATCTCGTTTTTCTTCCACAACCCCTCTTCCCTTCGGGGATGTGAACCCCACCCTACCCTCCCTCGGTTTGTTCGGGAGGGGGACCAATGTGTCAGAGGGTCCCTTTTTCGGCCAGTGAGAGGGTCAATGTTTGACACCCCATCACGAGGATCGTGGCCCCCGAGGGGGGGGGAGCGGACATTGAGGGCCCCCCTTTTTTGAACGACCGCGAGGCCCTCCAGGGCTCCCAAGAGGCCCCCAAGAGAGCTCCAAGAGCGCCCCAAGAGGCCCCGAGAGGCCTCCAAGGTGCACCCGAGAGGCACCCAAGAAGCCCCTTGGGCGGCCCCCCGAGAGGTCCAAGAAGCTCACCCGAGGCACGCAAGACGCCGTCTCGTCCTCGTCCTCGTCCTCGTCCCCCTCCTCGTCCTCATCCTCGTCGACCTCCTTGTCCTTATCCTCCTCCTCCTCCTCCTCCTCCTCCTCCTCTCCTCCTCCTCCTCCCCTCCTCCTCCTCCTCCTCCTCCTGTCCTCTCCTCCTCCTCCTCCTCCTTACATCATCCTCGTCATCTCGTTCTCGTCCATACCCTTCGTCCTCGTCCTCTTCATGTTCCTCCTCTCCTCCTCCTCCTCTCTGGTCCTCCTCCTCCTCCTCCTATCCTCATCATCATCTTCTCCTCCTCCTCCTCCTCCTCCTCCTCCTCCTCATCATCATCATCATCTCATCATCATCATCAGCATCATCATCATCATCAGCATCATCATCATATCATCATCATCATCAGCATCATCATCATCATCAGCATCACATCATCATCATCATAATCATCATCAGCATCATCATCATCATCATCATCATCATCATCATCATCATCTTCATCATCATCATCAAATCATCATCATCATCATCATCATCATCATCATCATCATCATCATCATCACCATCCCATCATCATCATCATCATCATCACCATCATCATCATCATCATCATCTCATCATCATCATCATCATCATCATCTTCATCATCATCATCATCATCATCATCATCATCATCATATCTTCTTTCCTCCCCTCCTCATGCTCCTTCTCTTTCTTCGTCCTCCTCCTCCTCCTCCTCCTCCTCCTCTCCTCCTGCTCTCCTCCTGCTCCTCCTCCTCCTCCTTCTCCCCCTCCCCCCCCCCCTTTCTCCTCCTCTTCCTCACTATCTTAGTCCTAGTCCTCCTCATATCTCCGCCGCCTTCCGACGCCGCTCCGCCGCCTTCCGCCGGGGAAGAGGTGCCAGGCCTCTCGAGGCCTCGAGGGCAAGGCCCCCTCTGGAACGGCCCGAAGGTGTATGTGATTGAAGAAACCCTGGACCGCCAGGGGGGGAGACAAGAGCCGACAGGCAAAGCATGTCCATGGGGGAACCGTTTTTTTGTGCGGAGCGGGACACCTTTTCTGGCCCCAGCTGCGCCTCCCGACTCGCGAGGAAGGCCGAGGGTGCTCCCTGCTTGACCATACCCCAGGAGCCCATTCCGAAACTTCAGAGATATCCGCATCTGCGAGGCAGGGACTTCTGACATGTATGAGATCCACCACACAGGGAACCGATGTCCAGGGACCCTGGGCAGCGATGGATATTGATATACAGTCGGGCCCCCAATGGGGTCCGAGAATATGCATATCCACCGCCCTCTGAGGAACAGGACGATCGGTTGCCCAGGCGGTGGAGATGTATAGACCCCAGGCTCGGTGTTCATCCCCAGGCCTGAGGATCGGGGCGAATCCTTTTTGAGGCAGAGGCGTAGAAGGAGGAGTGTGTCCCAGTCTGTGGACGGTCGCGTCACTCGCGCCAGCGCGCCAGCGTCACCTTGGCATGAAGCTAGAGGGTCCTGAGGGGAACGGATCCTGAACCTCGCGGCCTTCCCCCAGGGCCAACTCTTCATCCTGAGTCGTTGTTTGACGGGCCTAAGGCCCAACGAGGGCCCCGGGAGGCCGAAAAAGGGAAGAGAACCTGAAGGCCAATTTCCCTCAGGACCCGCTTGCTTCACGGCGAGTCACCACCCGATGACCCTCCTCCAAGGAGATCGCCCGGAACCCGTGCTCCTTGAACAGGACGGAGAAGACGCTCTGGTCCGCCTGGTGCTTCTGGAAGCTGGGGACCTGCGCCCGCAGCGGCGGCTCCGTCCAGTTGGCGGCCCCCTGGGCTCCGAGGAGCGCCTCGGGCTCCTGGGCGCGCTCCAGCCACTGCTCCGCGAACCTGAACCGGGGCCCCGCAGACGAGAGCGCTCTGGCAGGTGAGGGCTGCGGCACCCAGCAGCAGCAGAAATGAAGCCGCTGCGGCCGTGGGCCGGACCATCCCAAGCCCCCTCCCCGCGGCCCACTCGCGGAGTCCTGGCGTGTGCAACGCCCTGGTCTGCAACGCCCTGGTCCCTGGGGCCCCGACCTGATCGCACCCCTGGTCTTCCGGAAGACCAGGAAGTAGGCCCCCAGCTGCGGCCTGTCCACGACGGCGTACCGCTCGGAGGCGTTGAGCCACTGCAGCGTGGAGGCGTAGGTCCTTAGCTGCCCCGATGCGCAAGACGCAGCCCGTAGCGTCTTGACACGGAGCTCAGCACGTGGACTGACTACGTGGGTCTTGCGCGATACGTCCGCCAAAACGTGGGCCACCACGTGCCGAGCCAGCACGCAGCGTGTTGACACGGACGCTTCGAGCACGGCACGCGTGGCGCTTCGGGGCAGCTGAGCGCAGGTCCAGTCCCGCTCCAGGCACCCCTTCAGCCTCAGGGCCACCACGTCCGAGCCCCGGAGCGCATCGGCCACGAGAGGCCGGGGGTCCGCGTGCAGGTAGTTCCCGGCGTCGACCCACAGCACGACGCCCCGGTGCCACGGCACGGCGGGGTCGCGGAGGGTGCGCAGTATCAGGTGCGGCTTCCAGAGCCACCAGCCCGCCCCGCGCTTCTGCGAGAGGAGGGCACTGTGCCGCGCCGCCCACCCGCGGTCCTGGGGCAGCGGGAAGACACCGGACCTCTCCCGGGGTGCGTGCTGACCAGGAGGTCGAGGCGAATCCAGCGGTGGCGACGAGGGCCGCCCAGGAGGCCCAGGAAAGGCGAAAGCGAGGGAGAGGCTGCGGTGTGGGTACTTTTCCCTCCTCTGATGTCCAGGTCGCCCAGGTTGTACGCGCGCGCCTCGTCCACGCCGGCGGCCAGTGCCTTCTGGCGGTTCCGCCGCAGCGACCTCTTGCAGCAGCCGTGCGCGTAGCTGACAGCGACGAGGTGCAGCGGGTGGCGGCGGGCGATCCCCGAGTGAAGGAGGGCTGGGAGTGTAGGCTTCGACGTGGGCGTGCGCCGGTACTGTGCCAGCAGTGCGAGCGCGCGCTCCGGAAAGCCTGGGGCGTCGTGCGGAAAGAAGACATCAGCGAGGCTCGTCTGGGCCTCGCGGGCGCCCCAAAAGTGGAAGAGCGCCAGCCCACTGGCGGCCTCGTCGCCCAGCCAGCCGTCGCCGCTCCCAAACTCCGCCCCCAGTTTGGCGAAGCGCGCCTGCACCGGCAGCTCGATGCCACGTGGGAGAAAGGAGTACGCCGGCCCCGAGTCGTTGTGCGTCGTGACGTTGCGGCCCTTGTAGTCCACGCCCCCGGCAAAGTCGCCGGCGCGGTTGTCCAAGAACTGGTCCCAGCCCCGGTGGTCCAGCAGGTACACGTTCTCCCGCAGCCAGCTGGCGTACTGCAGCAGGAGGCCCGCGGCCTTCTCGGTGCCCCGCGCCGCGACCACGGCGGGGCTGACAGACTCGGAGGTCAGGTGCCTGGGGTGGCACGATCGGGGGGGGGATCGGCTTGGGAGGGGAAGCGTCGAGGCTGGAATCGGCGAGGCGGCACCGATGGATCGGCGGTAGGCCCCCGATGCCGAAGCCACAAGCTCCAGGGCGGGGTGGGCGGTCAGGCCCCTGTCGGCGGTGGATGGGCGAGGGGGGGTCGTTTGCAATCCCCCTCCTGAGCCTGTCACACCTGACGCTGCCCCTGAAAGCTTCGGTCCTCCATCCACGAGCCGCTCTCGGGCCATAATTCGTGCCTCCCGCGGCTGTCAGGGACGACCCGGACACTCTGGAACGCTCTCGGCGAGGCGCAGCTGCTGGGAAGTACCCCGAGGGTGGAAGCCGCCGAGATCCGACGAAAATGCCAAACACAGTTCTTTGGTTGAAAGCTGCTGCCCACGCAAGTGCAGTACGCGCTGCTGCCCACGCGAGTGCAGTACGCATCCGCGCAACAGTATCCTGGCGAAGGACCCAACCATATGCAGTTGTGAGTGCCGTCGTTGCGGGTATCGCCCCTGGGGGATCTCCTCATGGGGCCATGAAGCATGCGAAAGGTGTGCCGATGTGGGGCGGGGCCGCCATGTGGGCGCTGCCACCGGGGCTTTACGCGGAACCCAGTATGGGGCCGCGAAACGTGTGAGAGGTGCGCTGCATTGGGGCGGGGCCGCCACTGAGGCCTTCGGCGGAGCTACCTTCGAGGCAACGAAACGCTGCACATGCGAGTGCAGCCACTGGGGCCTTCGGTGGAGCTTCCTTTGGGGCCACGAAACGCTGTACTGGGCGGGGGAACCGCATGCGAGCGCAGCTACTGAGGCCTTCGATGGAGCCCCCTATGGAGCCACGAAACGTTCTACTGGGTGTGGGAACCAAATGCGGGCGCAGCTACTGGGGCCTTCGGTGGAGCTCATGGGGCCACGAAGCGCTGTACTGGGAGGGGGAAACGCATGCGAGAGCAGCCACTGGGGCCTTCGGTGGAGCTCCCTATGGGGTCACGAAACGCTGTACTTGGTGGGGGGAGCGCATGCGAGAGCAGCCACTGGGGCCGTCGGTGGAGCTCCCCATGGGGCCACGAAGCGCTGTACTGGGTGGGGGAACCGCATGCGAGTGCAGCCACTGGGGCCTTCGGTGGAGCTCCCAATGGGGCCACGAAGCGCTGTACTGAACGGGGGAAACGCATGCGAGAGCAGCCATTGGGGCCTTCAGTGGAGCCCCGTATGGGGCCACGAAGCGCTGTACAGCTTGGGGGTCCTGTATGCGAGCGCAGCCACTGCCGCCTTCGGTGGAGCTCCCTATGGGGCCATGAAACGCTGCACTGGGTGGGGGAGACGCATACTGACAAGGACAGAGGCAAGGAGGGAAGCTCTCTATGGGGCCACGAAACGCTGTACTTGGCGGGGGAACTGAATGCGAGTGCAGCCACTGGGCCTTCGGTGGAGCTCCCCATGGGGCCACGAAACGCTGTACACCGTGGGGGTCCCGCATGCGAGAGCAGCCACTGGGGCCTTCGGTGGAGCCCCTGTACAGCGCGGGGGTCCCGCATGCGAGAGCAGCCACTGGGGCCTTCGGTGAAGCTCCCTATGGGAGCACGAACCGTGTGATGGGTGTGCCCAAGTGAGGGAGGAGGGCGAGGAGTAAGGAGGAGACGAGAGGAGGGGACGCGGGGCGCTGTCTCTTCAAAACGAGGACCCAACACCACCTGTTGGTTGGGAAAACATACGCCCAACTACTGGACAGCAAAAAGCCCGAAAACCTAGAGCCCCGAGAACTAAACCTCGCTCCCATCAACGCTGCCCCTGAGCGCCTAGCGAAGACCAGGTCCGGCGAGGCCCCCGCGCCCAAAGCGGCGCAGACGTGCGGGGCCGGGTCCCTCGCCACGTACACGTCCAGGTCCAGCCACACCTGACCAGCCTCAAGCTTATCCCTATCCCTAAGATTGGCACGGAAGTAAGATGAGGCAAATGAATAAGGATAGGGATTGGGATACGGTCAGGAACTTTTGGATAGCGTGTCGCGGCGGCGGCCCTGGCGACACGCTACGCCCTGCAAGCGGATAGCGTGCCGCTCCGCTCCGCGGGGCGGGAGGCTGGGAGCACCTCGAGACGTGGACGCTAGGGGACTGGGACGTGGACAGCGTGTCGCGCCGAAGCGTGGTGGGCCCGAGCCGGCGGTGCGACACGCCACGAGCCAGCGTTCCTGCCCGAATGCTGCAGGCTGGTGAGCACCGCCGTGAGGCCGAGCCCAGCCAGCACGGCCAGGGCCAGGTACTTCGCCACCGCGCCCTCCACGCCGAAGCGCCGCGGGGCGTCCAGGCAGTGCACGCCGCGGCCTGCCGCGGCCTCGCAGCCCGCCAGGGCCTGCACGGTGTCCCCCCGGGCCGTAGGCGACCCGAGGAGGAGGAGGAGGAGGAGGAGGAGGAGGAGGAGGAGGAGGAGGAGGAGGAGGAGGAGGAGGAGGAGGGGGAGGAGGAGAAGGGAGGGGGGGGAGGAGGAGAAGGAGGAGGAGAGGAGGAGGAGGAGGAGGTGGTGGAGGAGGAGGAGGAGGAGGAGGAGGAGGAGGGGAGGAGGAGGAGGAGGAGGAGGAGGAGGAGGAGAGAAGGAGGAGATGTAGGAGGAGGAGGAGGAGGAGGAGAGGAGGAGGAGGAGGAGGAGGAGGAGGAGGAGGAGGAGGAGGAGGAGGAGGGGTCGCCAAAGCCCTTCGGAGAAACCCTCCACTGGGGCCTGGGCGTCGAGGGCCAGCAGCAGCAGCGGCCTCGCGCCGCCGAGCAGCGAGGACCAGCGCGCCGCCGCGCGGCCCGCCAGCGGCGCCAGCGCGCCCCACGCGGCCGTGAGGAAAACGGGCCGCGCCCCGCGGCAACCGTCCTCGCGCTGGGGGGGGAAGGGGGGGGGCACGGTTTTTCCCGGGGGCCGTAGGCAGCCCGAGGAGGAGGTGGGGGAGGGGGAAGAGGAGGAGGAGGAGGAGGAGGAGGAGGAGGAGGAGGAGGAGGAGGAGGAGGAGGAGGAGAGGAGGAGGGAGGAGGAGGAGGAGGAGGAGGAGGAGGTGGGGGAGGAGAGGAGGAGGAGGAGGAGGAGGAGGAGGAGGAGGAGGAGGAGGAGGAGGAGGAGAAGAAAGAGAAGGAGGAGAAAGAGGAGGAGGAGAAAGAGGAGGAGGAGGAGGAGGAGGAGGAGGAGGAGGAGGAGGAGGAGGAGGAGGAGGAGGGGGGCGATACGGTGAGTTGGCGGCGCGCACAAGGTGGTGGAGGGAGGGGGAGGGCTTCTTAGGAGGAGGCTGCTTCTTAGGAAGCGCCGGCCTTACACCTACAGAGAAGGCCCGCGCCTTCTAAGAGGCAGGGAGGCTTGTAAGAAGTCCTCCCCCCTCCCCCCTCCACCCTCTGCGCGTGGCTGAGTGAGGACGGTGGGTGCGGTCGGACCTGCAGCCAGGACGCTGAAGTAAGACACGTTTTGGGTTCGGAAGGGGCTCGATGTTCCTGGGGTCATTCCGTGGCCATTCCTCCAGCCCTCCTCGTGAACGAATGCGGTTTGGGGGCCTACAATGGGCTTCGTTCCTGATCTAGCGTTCCTTACTTCAGCCGCCCGACAATAAGACATAATAACATCCTTCAAGGTTATGAGACCCTCCGCCGGCCAAACTGAAGAACAATCGAGGGTACCCTCCCTCAGGATGCACAAGAGCATCCTACAAGCACGAAGAACATTAGGGTAACCTCTTCGAGCAGACCTCGATCTTATCCCTCGGTCCGACCGTAAGCAACTAGTGGATCAGACATCCAGGGCCTTGAAGCCGGTGGAGCACCAGCTTAGGCTTGGCCATGGGCATGCTGCCGCCCTCGTCGGGTAAGGGATCATGTTTTCTTCCTCCAGGCGATCCGAGAAGCTCCGAGACGGTCCAGACTTTCTGGCGCCGGCCTCGCCGAGCAAGATGCACGCATCCCAGCGATGCCGAGGGCGGTCGGGGGTCGGAGCCCATCGCCCCAGCGGTCCCGGTCGCCCCCGTTTGGGAGGCGTGGCCCAGGTCTCCGGCGGCCGCTCGGGGCGGTCGGGACAGCTCCAAAACGCCCCTCCTCCTCCTCCTCCTCCTCCTCCTCCTCCTCCTCCTCCTCCTCCTCCTCCCCCTCCTCCTCACCTCTTGAACTGAATTGAAAAAGCTTGGCACTGGCCACAGCGCGTGAGCAATACGTGAAACGTGAACGAACGCGGATGCCTTCATCAAGCCACACATGCCTTGACAACCAGCTCCCACCTGCGAGCTGCACCGCCCTCTCGACGGAAGCAGTCACCAAGTCGCTCATGGGAACCGGCAACTGTCCCGCAATTCTCTTTAGCACCGTGGGCCCCCACGATTGTCTCGGGCGTCCTCTTCTTCATTTCCCAAGCAGGCGCTTGAGAACCAGATCGCCTGTCTCAAACATCGAATTTCGGAGTGGATCCTCGTCCGGCCTTCTGGCCTCAGGGCCCATGTACAACATTCGATGACGTGCGATGATATCGCTCAGAGGCGCCTGTTGAGAATTCTGTCAAACTGTGCGGTTCGAAACCCGGCTGATGCACGACGGGGAAACTCTGCAAATGCGTCAGAGACAATGACTCTGAAATCCGTAGAAAAAAGGTTTCCGCTCCAAGACTGATGCTCGAGTATACGGAGCTTCTGTCTCCTACTCAATGTAGAGTGTGGCCAAAAGCTTACGAGCACCTTGAAATCACTTCTCGCCGCCCCTATTCTCCGATTCAGTCCCGCGCCGATGCGCCTGTCTGCAGCAAGCGACGCCCCAAGATATATCAAATATTGCTTGGCAGGAAAGCCTCCAGAGCCCGAAAAGGACTTCCGAACCCCCCCTGTGCCAATCCCCCACCCCTGAGATCCGACGATGCGAAAAAATCGCAACATCGCGAACAATCATGGCTGGAGCCCCAGAACCCATCTTTCTGCCGCCTTTTTCGAGCCGCATCGATCTGCGGTGGTCCTGGGGCCCGAGAAAGGGGGAGAACGCCCGAAGCGAAACAAAAATTGCAACGCCTGGACCTCAGGGCCTGACGTCCCAGACATCCAGCGTCTCGATTTTTTCGAGCCACGGGCCCCCGACCTCTCGACACCTTCCCCAGGGATGGCTTCGCATCCCGAGTCGTTTCCTGGCGGCCCCGAAGCCCAGCAGGGGCCCAGCAGGGGCCGAAAACTATGAAAAACCCTACGCATCAGTGTTTGTCCAGACATTGGAGGCCCGGACATGGGCACCAGCACCGACACATGGGGGGGGGAGGGGGGGCCTCCACGGGGGGGAAGGGCGCTCCTGGATTTCGGTGCTGGTGGCAATCTTTCGGCCACCTTGAACGCCGGAACATTACCACCCTCACCGGGATCGGGATCTCCTTCCCCAGACTCCCGACGTCATGAGTTTTTCATGACGTCGACCCCCAGCGGTCTGGATCCTTTCCCCGGGACCGGTTCTTCGTCCTGAGTCGTTTTTTGACGGTCCCGAGGGCCAGTGTAAGGGCCCCCAAAGGCCAAAAATAATGAAAAACCTCCCGTCGTGATTTTTTCATAACTCGAGGGGGTCTGGGTCCCTCGGTGGAAGCACACCGCCGACATTGGTGCTGGTGTCAGCCGCACGTCTCGGGTGGCTCCCTCGGCCTCCGCGGCCGCCTCCGGAGAGCGCGCCGCGGCTCCCCCCCCCGGCGGCTACTTACGGGGCGTGTTTTTTCTATCGCGACTGTGCCTCGCGCGGCACGCAGCAGTGCCACCGCGTACCCGCGGGGCCCCCACAGGATTCGGCCTGACCCAAGGAGCGATAGATCAGGAGCGAGGCCCCTTTTTGTTCCAAGTGAGACTACGACGTCCGAGGGAACGGACCCGTGCGTCCAAAGTCTGAGGGAACAGCAGGGGGGCTCGCCGCCAAGAAGGTAGCGGAACGCATGCAAACCACAGGAGCGCCCGAGCCCCTCTTGAGAAGTAGGTGCTCCTTACTCAAGCCGGATCCTGTACCGCAAGGGCGTGGATATGGATACGTTCCCAGACCCCCGACGTCAGGACTTCTTCATGACGTGGAGCCCCGGCGGTCTGTACCCAGGACTGGTGTTTCATCCGAGTCGTTTCGAATGACTCGCTGTCTGACGGCCCCCAGGAGCCGGGAAGGGCCCCCAGAGGCCGAGAATAGCGAAAAGCCTCCAGTCATGATTTTTGCATGACCCGAGGAGGTCTGCCGGGCGCACGCCAACATGGATTAGGGATCCGTGGATCTGGCGCGTGGGCGCCAGATTCATGGATCGGGGAAGGTGCCCCCGAAAAATGGCGCCCGTGCCGCTCGATTTTGGGACGGAGAGCGCCGATTTCGCATAGCAACGGGACCCGTCGCTAATCCACGTGCCTGAATCCATGTTAGCGTTTTTTCGTCCCAGGCCCCCGACGTCATTGTTTTTGCTTGACGTGGACCCCCAGCGGTCTGGACCCACTCCCCTGGACCTGTTTGTCAGCTCGAGCCCTTTTTTGCACGGCCCCGAGGGCCGGTAAGGGCCCCCAGAAGCCGAAAATAGCGACCAACTCCCCGCATTGAGTTCTTCATGGACCGAGGGGGTCTGAGGATTACTTGAGCAGGGACCGACCGTCGCGGCAATCCTATAGGCCGAAATGTTCTCAGAACCAAAAGACGCTCTCAGAACATAAACAATGCTCTTAGAACACAGAACTGATGAATTAAAACAAAACTGTGTCGACCAGAGATGTTATCAGAATACCCCGTGCAAAATGCAAAAAACTCTTTGAACAATCTTTTGTGGGCCTATAGGCAAGCCGGGACGCTTCTCCACTGCTTGAACGGGCTGCACGTAAGAGTGGCCCTAGGCAAGAGTGTCCTTTGGTGCGCGTCTTTTGGACGGCGCGAGGGGGCCAAACTCAACCGCGCAAGCTGCTGCTATCGCATCGCATTCGACGATCGGGGGGGCCCAGTGGGCCCGCACCAGAAGGTCCCTCTGGCGAAGGGTCACCCTTACGTGTAGTGGATTGAAGTCTGGACTCGTGACTGACGCTGCCCCCCGGCCTCGCACAGACGCGCGCCTCCTCGACGACGACGCGCGCACGGACGACGACGACGAGGACGACGACGACGACGACGAGGACGACGACGACGACGACGAGGACGACGACGACGACGACGCCGACGACGACGCCGACGAAAACGACGACGACGACGTCGACGACGACGCCGACGACGACAGCGACGGCGACGCTGCCCTCCGGCCTCGCCGGCCGCACCCGGCGCGTCGCCCGCGCCGCCGCCCCGCAGCCGCCCCGCCGCGGCCGCCACGAGGCCGCAGAGCCGCGCCGCCGCGCCCTCGGGCGCCCGCGGCGCGCCCGCGGGCCCGAGCCAGACCTCGTGGGGCGGGGCGCGGCGGCATACTGACTACAGTCGGGGCGTTGACCTAAGGAACCCCAAATAAGGAACGAGGCCCCTTTTTTCCACAAGTAAAACTTCGATTTCCCATCGAAAACATTTTAGGAAAGCCTGAGGCAAGCTGCGAAATTTTTTTTTAAGGAACGCGGAGCCCCTCCCCAACGAAAAGGGTTCCTTCTTCAGGGCCCCGCCTGTACTGGCTGCCTGCCAGACCACCCCAACCCAACCCGAAGACCCGAATTTCGGGTTGGGGGGGGGTACAGGCAACCCGTACAGCAAGGAGGCGCGAGAAGGCTGCGAGGGCCCTGGACGCCCATCTCGAAGCTTTCCGAGCGGGGCGCGGCCAATGGAAGTCGCCAAGGATGGACCGAGGAGGCAAGGACGCAAGGGTACCCTTGGGAAGGTCCCCCATCCTTACTGTGCGGGTTGACTGTAAGGATTCCATTTGTGTTTTTTCAACGTTCCCCGACCCCCCGCTGGAAACGGAAGGCAAATTGAGGCCTTCGGGTTGGGTTGGGATGGTTTGGTGGGTGGTGGCATGCCCAGACCCCCTCGAGTCGGACCTATGGGCCCAGCAGAGACTGCTCTGAGAGCATCTTGCGGTCTGCACGGGATGTTCCGAGAACACTTCTGGTCGAGACTGTCCTGTTGTAGTCCAGCGGCTCTCATGTTCTAAAAAAGAACCAGGTTTTGGCTCTCAGAACGTTCCCTGGTTCGAAGAACACGCCGTGGTGGGCCTCTAGGAATGCCGCGACGGTCGGCCCCTGCTCAAAGACTCCCCAGACCTCCTCGGGCCATGAAGAAGATCATGGCGGGAAGTTCTTCACTATTGCCCGCCTCCGAGGGCCCTCACCAGCCCTCGGTGCCGTGAAGCAACGGCTCGGGCTGAAGAGCAGGTCCAGGGGAATAGGTCCGACACCGCGGGGGGGCCCGCGTCGGGCACAAATCATGACGCTGGGGGCCCGGGGAGAGAGGCCCCCCCTCGGCGGCGAGCCCGGGGGGGAAGCAAGAAGGGGCCGGCCTTCCCTCGGGCCCTGGCGCTGCAGCTTTTGTCGCGGCGGGCGCCTTCGCCGCGTGTCGGGCCCCGGGACCCGCACAGAACGAGCCGGGCCGAGAAATGAGGCAGGACGATGGGGCACGGGTCTCCGGTCGTGATGTTCTGCGGTGATGCAACTTCTCGTGGCGTCGGGCCACGAGGTCCTCAGAAGGCCCGGAAGTCCCACGGCCTCCCGAGAAGTTTTCCAGGCCTTCCCCGAAGGCACAGAAAGCGTCTCAGAGGGCGCGAGGGCTTCTGAGAAGTCCCGCCGCATTCCGAGAAGGCCTTCTCCTTCTCACTTTCCATCCTCGCTCGCCGCCGATCCTAGATGGGGTCTGAGTGCCAGGCATGATCGCGTCGCAACAAAAATGAGGGCGGGAGGTGGTTCGTCGCTTTCGGCCTCCAGAGGCCCTCGCTGGGCCTCGGGACCGTCAGCAGAAGGACTCAAGGGGGTCCGAGCAGATGGGATCGGAGGATCGCGCCACATCACCGACGCATCGGCGCAGCATCGGCGCCGTCGGCGTGGAGAAAGTCGGGCTCCACATCGAGCCGCATCGGCGATTCATCGGCGCCGCGGCGCGAATCTCCGACCCCACCTGCTCAAACCCCATCTGGGAGGCCTCAAGCTGGAGCAGGCCCACGACGTGCGTGCAGGCGGAAGATCGGCCAGTGATGCTTCCGGCTACGCGCAGGCCGCCCCGCAAAGTCAGCGGTATGTAGAGCGAGGCCCGTCCCAAGGCGAGGTCAGGGCGCGAACCTGGCTGGATGCTAGCATTTTCTTCGTCCAGGGTCCTCGTCGGGCGGGGAGCGCTGGAGCATGCTCACGACGTGCAGCAGGCGAAAGATCGGCCAGTGAGGCTTCGGGCTGCGCGCAGGCAGGTCCCCCAGGTTAGGAGGCAGCTCCCTGAGAGATCTTCGTCAGAACGACGAAGGGCTGTTGAGCCAAATTGAAGTGCCACTGGGCCAGATTAGGCCAAATTGAGCCCTGGATTACCCTGGATGAAATGGGATTCAGCCAGAACGACAAGTTTTTGACCAAGGATACACTGGCAGCGCCGATTCTGAATGTAACCTCCCAAGAGTTGCATCCTAATCCAGGCAGTCCCGGCTGGCCTCACCAGGTCCCCGAGTGGTCTCTGCTGGCCTCGACAGGCCCCGCTAGTATAGCCTGGGGCGGTCTCAACCCTGGCGCCGCCTCTGGCGGCGCCCTTGGGGCGCTCCGCGCCCCTGGGTTGAGGTGTTGAGACCGCCCTGAGCCACTCGGGAGGCCTGTTTGAGGCCAGCTGGGACCACTCTGGGGCCTGTTAAGGCCAGCCGGAACTACATGGAGGGGCTGTCTGTGCGCAACCTGAAGCCTTACCAAGATCGGCCAGTCGGTCTTGATGATGTGCGCCACCTGGGCGTGCAAGTTTATGAGCTTGGCGGTGCTGGCCGCGAACCGCTGCAGACACCCGTCGATGTCCCTGAGGTGCACCAGCATGGTTTGCAGCAGGTAGCTGGAGATGACGCCCAGGTGGCAGCCTGCCTTGTATTGGTGCACCCTGCTGTACACCTCGAACACGTCGTCAGAAAAGGACATGGCCTCGCGGACGCCGAACGAGTCTCCGTACAGGCGCAGCCAGCGCGCTTCGTACTGGGCCGACAACGGCCCGTCCTCAGGCCTGAGGTCCAGGACGCCTGGCTCCATGGACGCGAAGTCCACTGCCGACGTGAAGACGGACTTGAACCACGGCCAGTCGAAGATGTCCGGCTCGCTCTGCCAATTCTGGTGCCTCCTGCAAGCTCCCATACGCGTCGACCCGCTCTCCGGATGCAGCCGCACCAGGAGGTCGAGCAGCCGGAACGCGGGCCACGGGCTTCGCAGGACGAGGTGCAGGCGCGTCGAGTAGTCCTTGCCCAGCGGCGTCATCTGTGCCCACAGGTCCTCGTCCAACGAGGCGGCGCACTCCAGCGCACTATTGGCGCCGTCTGGCTCCTGCCGGAGCACCAGGAGGCACTGCGCCGCCGTCGACGCGAGCTTGCCCGGCTCGCAGTACGGCCTGCCGAGGACGCTGGAGGAGAGCAGCACCTGGGGGAGCAAAAGGGGCACCGGCACCGCTGCTCCTCCCGGAGCTCTCCTGCGCTGCGCTCTGACCAGAACTCCGAGGAGAATCCGGCCGTGGCGACCCGCGGACTCTCCAGGACGGGCAGCGGCATCTGCGTGCGCACATATACAGATAGATAAAGATTCCTCTTCCTATATGTTTACAAGCCCGGGCGGGGGGACCCCCCCCCCCAAAAAAAAAAAAACGGACTCCCAGGATCTTGGGCTTCGGGACCCTCCGGACGGGCCTCGAAGAGGCCCCCCGGGCCTCGCAGGGCGTTTTGCCAAGCCTTCCCAACACACCTAGGGCGATCAGGGGGGTCATCGGAGACGTCCCAGAGACCCCCAAGACAGCACAAGAGCGATCCAAGAGTGACCGACGTGACCTCAAGATGGCCCACGAAGCCTCCAGGACAGCCCCAAAAAGGCCTCCAAGAGCACTCCCTAGAAGGCCCCAAGAGGCAAAAATCATTGATTTTCTGTTGGTTTTTGGTGAATTTGGGGGTTCTCCTCTTGTCGGCTTCCCGGCGCTCCAAGACGGCGGGCGGTCTTGTGGGCGTCCGAAGCGCGCCTGGGAGGCTCCAAAATCGCCCCACAACCATCCGAAAGGGCTTCCAGGCAGTCCAAGAGAGCCCCAAAACGGCACAACACGGGTCCAAGATGGCCCTCAAAGAGCCCCATGGCGGCCCAAGATGGCCCCAAGACACCCTCCGAAACATTCCAAATCGTGACCCGGTCGTTCAGGGAGACCGCGGTTGGAGGCAGGGTGGCCCGAGGAAGCCCCCAGAGGCCCCCAGAATACGCCCAGGGGGCCTCCAGAAGGCCTCAAGAAAGCCTGAAACAACTTTTGTCAGGACACCAGAGGCTCTCCAAGGAGGAGCCTCCGCAAAAAAGAGCTGAGGAGGATGGAGAGAATGCGCAGAGTATGGCGAAAATGATGAAAAAGAAGCATGGAGGAAGGATAACGAATAAAACAATTAGAAAAGCAACAAGGAGTTATCGATCAATTGTCGGCTTGACCTTCCTGCTATTCCGCCTGCATGCCAAACTTCAAGGACCAAGGTGCATGGCGCGAAGCGCCACTGCAGTCTTGTACATATATATATATATATGTGTATAGATGTATGTGTGCGTGTGTGTGTGTGCGTGTGGGTGTGAGTGTGTGTATGTGGGTATGCGTATGTGTACCTGTGTACATCTGTAGACATATATATATATATATAAAAATGTGCGTGTGTGTGTGTGTATGTATGTATGTGTATGTGCACGTGTATGTATATGTGGATGCGTATGTGTATGTGTATGTGTATGTGTGAATGTGTATGTGCATCCGTGTATGTGTATGTGTATGTGTATGTGTATGTGTATGTGTATGTGTATGTGTATGTACGTGTGCACGTGGATGTGTATGTACATGCGTATGTCGGTTCGTGTGTATGTATGCATCCGTGCATGCATGTATGTGCGTGTGTATGCGTATATGTATGTGCATTTGTATGTGTATGTGTACGTGTATGTGTATGGGTATGTGCATGTGTATGTATATGTAGATGTGTGTATGTATGCATGCATGCATGCATGCATGCATGCATGCATGTATGTATGTATGTATGTATGTATGTATGTGTGTATCTGTGTATGTGTGCATGGGTGTGCGTGTGTGCGTGTGTGCGTGTGTGCGTGTGTGCGTGTGTGCGTGTGCGTGTGTGCGTGTTTGCGTGTGTGCGTGTGTGCGTGTGTGCGTGTGTGCGTGTGTGCGTGTGTGCGTGTGTGCGTGTGTGCGTGTGTGCGTGTGTGCGTGTGTGCGTGTGTGCGTGTGTGCGTGTGTGCGTGTGTGCGTGTGTGCGTGTGCGTGTGTGCGTGTTTGCGTGTGTGCGTGTGCGTGTGAGCGTGTGTGCGTGTGTGCGTGTGCATGTGTGCGTGTGTGCGTGTGTGCGTGTGTGTGCGTGTGTGCGTGTGTGCGTGTGTGCGTGTGTACGCGTGTGCGTGCGCGTGTGTGCGTGTGTCTCTTTCTCTTTTGCTGTTTCTCTCTCTCTCTCTCTCCCTTTCTCATATTCCTCTTCTTATATTTTTACAAGCTGGGGGAAACACCGTCAATCCCCCCCCAGTCTGGACCCCCAGGATCGCGGGTTTCTGGGCCCCCCGGACATCCTTGCCAAAGGTCCCCCAGCTCGTCCCAGACCTCCCAGGGCGCTTAGCCGGGTCCTGCCAGCAGGCCCCAAGCGATCAGAGCGGTGATCAAAGAGGCGAAAGAAAGACCCAAGACAGCACAAGAGCGCTCCAAGAAGGACCCAGAGGGCCTCCAGAGGCCCCCAAGGCGGCCCAGGAGGCCCTCAACAGGGCTCCCAGAATGCAAAAATTGCCTCATTCCTTACATGCACTTTCAGCACATTCGCTGTTCGGGTCTTAGCAGCGTCCAAAATCGCCGAAAAGGACACCGGTATCGCCCGAAGACGGTCCAAGAGACCCAAAAGAGAGCCCATAGACAGCCTGGATGGCCCCAAGACTGCCCAATGATGCCCCAACTGAGCCAAAAACAAGCCCAACAGGCCCTTACAAGGCCCCGAAGCGATCAGAGCGAAGATCAGAGAGGCCGAAGAAAGACCCAAGACAGCACAAGAGCGCTCCAAGAAGGACCCAGAGGGCCTCCAGAGGTCTCCAAGACGACCCAGGAGGCCCACAACAGGGCTCCCAGAATGCAAACGATGCTTCCTTGCCGTTGGGAAACGTAACTTTTCAGCACATTCGCTGTTCGGGTCTTAGCAGCGTCCAAAACAGCCAAGAAGGCCTCCAGGATCGCCCCAAGACGGACGGCCTGGACGGCCCCAAGACTGCCAAGGAAACCCCACATGAGCCAAAAGGAGGCCCAAAAGGCCTTCACAAGGCCCCCAAGAGAAGCCCCAGAAGGCCATGGGAGGCCCCCCAAAAGGCCATGGGAGGAGGCCAACGGGAGGGCCTACGTAGCCCCCATGAGGTCCCTAGAGGGCCCAAGGTCCCCAACGATGCCCAAGATGGCCCCAAGACGGCTCGAGACGGCCCCAAGCCGGCCGGCCCACCAGGGCGCCAACAAGACCCACACGGCGTTTTGCACCAAACTGACCTGAATCCCAGCTCGCAACCACAACTCCCGGCAATCGGTTGCGAACCCAGGATCGGGTGCACTCCCCAAGAATTATTTGCGTTCGCGTGCCCCGTTGCGACCCGCTGCAACCCGCTGCAGCATTCTTCGCCGTCCCCCGACGGCGCCCTCCTCCTTCTCCTCCTCCCCTTGCTGCCGCTCCACCACCCGTCCTCCCCCACTCCGCTTCCTTTCCGCGCTCTCCGAGGATCCCTCCCTCCTATCCTTCGCCCTCCGCCCGGCGCCTTTCGGGAGCCCCCCGAGGCCCAGGAAGGGCCAGGGACCGACCGAACTTCCGAAGACTTCTGAAAACCACCGCAGGGAAGGGGCCAAATGTCCAAGGCCACCAGGGATGGTGCGAACGACCAACAGATTGAAAGCCTCAGGGACCAAGGTACATGGCGCGAAGCGCAAATGCAGTTATGTGAATATATATATATATATATATATATATATATATGTGTGTGTACATACAAACATACATACATACATACACACACATACATACATACATACATACATACATACATACATACATACATACATACATACATACATACACATATACATACATACATACATACATACATGCATACATACATACATACATATATATATATATACATATATATGTATGTGTCTGCATACCTGTGTGTATGGTCTGTGTCTTGTGTGGTGGGTGTTGTGTTGCGTGTGTGTTGTGTGTCGTGTGCTGGGTGTTGTGTGTTGTGTGTGGTGTGTGTTGTCTGTGTTGTGTGTGTTGTGTGTTGTGTTGTGTGCTGTGTGTTGCGTGTGTTGTGCGTTGTGTGTGTTGTGTGTGGTGTGTTTGTGTTGTGTGCTGTGTGTCGTGTGTGTGTGTTGTGTTGTGTGTTGTGTGTTGTGTGGTGTGTGTTGTGTGTGTGTGTGTTGTGTGTGGTGTGTGTGGTGTGTTATGTGTTGTGTGTGATGTGTGTTGTGTCGTGTTGTGTGTTTTGTGGTGTGTGTGTGTGTTGTATGCTGTGTGTTGTGTGTTGTGTGGTGTGGGTTTTGTGTGTTGTTTGTGTGTTGTGTTGTGTATGTTGTGTGGTGTGTGTTGCGTGTTGTGTGTGTTGTGTGTGTTGTGTGTGTTGTGTATTGCGTGTTGTGTTGTGTGTTGTGTGTTGTGTGTTTTATGGTGTCTGGTGTGAGTTGCGTGTTGTGTGGAGTGTGTTGTGTGCTGTGTGCTGTGAGTTGTGTGTTGTGTGTTGTGTTGTGTGCTGTGTGTTGCGTGTGTTGTGTGTTGTGTGCTGTGTGTTGTGTCATTTGTGTTGTGTCTTGTGTGTTGTTTGGTGTGCGTTTTTTTGTTGTGTGGTCTGTGTTCTGTGGTGTGTGTTGTGGTGTGTGTGTGTTGTGTACTGTGTGTTGTGTGTTGAGTGTTGTGCGTGTCATGTTGTGTGTTGCGTGGTGTGTGTTGTGTGTTGTGTCTTCTGTGTTGTGTGGTGTGTCTTGTGTCTTGTGTATTGTGGCTTGTGTGTTGTGCGCTGTGTGTTGTGTATTGTGTGGTGTGTGGTGTGTAGTGTGTGGTGTGTGGTGTGTGGTGTGTGGTGTGTGGTGTGTGGTGTGTGGTGTGTGTGGTGTGTGGTGTGTGGTGTGTGGTGTGTGGTGTGGTGTTTGGGTGGTGTGTGGTGTGTGGTGTGTGGGTGGTGTTTGGTGTGCGTGTGTGTGCGTGTGTGTGTGTGCGTATGTGTGTTTGGGTGTGTGACCGTCGCCGTACTGATGCAGAGTCCCGAAGAGGCCCTCTTCGGGGTCTCTTGAGGCAGTTTTCAGGTCGTCTCGGGGACCTCCCAGGCCGCCTTGACGCCCTCGGGGGCCGTCTTGGTTCCGCTTGGCAATCTTGTGGACATCTTG